AACACTTAGATTTTGTAATTTACTTATTCTAGAATACTACTCTTTTTTCCTTCACTTAAGTTTTGTCCCGATCTCTTCATGGGTTTTACTTGGCAAGGTTTTTAAGAGGCAATCATTTATGTATATTTATTTATATTATCTCAATTCAATAAAATCACATCTTTTGGGGGCATATGATTTTTTTTTAAAATTAAATTTTGTAAAAAAAATTACAAGGGTCAGGGCCGGCCCGTGATGAGCTTGGCCCAGGCCCGACCTTGGCCTTTATGGACTAGGGCCGCCCAGCCCTAGCATGGCCCAGGCCCGCCATAGGCCTCTGGCATGTCGTGTCGGCACGGCACGACATGTTTGACACCTCTATTCGGAGATGTATAGGCTTATACTGATGCACCTTTTCCTAGAGGTATAAAATCTCAGTACCTAAAACAGAATTCTCTAGGAAATATAACTTTTTTTTGCTCAATATAACTTGGATTATGCCTTTTCAAATTAGCAAAGTAAAGAAAATCTCATCTTTTTAAGCATGTAATGCCACTTTTCATAATGACTATATGGCCAATCATGTCACTGGCCAGATAACAAATCAAATTATCCCGTGGTGGTGGGGTTAGGGGGCGGCTTTCTTTTTCCCCTAAAACCTTATGGAGAAAATATGTTACAATATTTTAAAAAGGAACCATTTAAAGTTATTTGTCCTGTTATTACTGACAAGACGAAGATTTTGGTGTGATCTAAAAAGACGACACTTATATATGTAGAGAAAATTGTTGCACTTATTTTTAGAGTGCATGAGTATGAATTTTTACTTTTTTTTATTGATTAACACTGTTTTAACTCATATAATTATTTGACTAAAAAAAAATATTAATCAAGAGTAATGAGTGAAAATTCAGACTCATACATTCTAAGAGATATTTGTCTCCTTTTTCGCCTAAATGTATGTACAAGTTTAGGGGCAATATATTTATGTGCCATTTTGTTCTTACCCATTTTATGTTCATCCAATAATATTATATTACGTAAATTAAAGACCACACCACATCAATTGAAAGGTCATGTTGGTTAAAATATTTTAATTGACGTGATATGATATTATTAAGACATGAAAGAGGAAGAAAAAGGAACGTATCCAAATATGCAACATACAAACACAAATGAATTGGCATTTTATTTCTTTTTACGAGTAGTAATTTGGGTTGTGACATGACAATATAAATGAAATCCGTACGAAATTAATGGATTGACCAACCTACACCGGAATAATGTGAAGTGGCACGATTAGCTAAGTTTTTTATTTACAACCTAATTATAGATGAGATAATTGATGGTCAGAGAAATATATCATACATAAGTGGATGTAGCTCTTCATTAATAGAGTGACGTTGGTCTCCGATTCGAATTCGGATGCGGAAGCGTGGGGGGAGCGGATCGTGTATAACAAAAATTTTCACAAAACCTTTGAGATACCCTATAGATGATATTAATTTATGCACGAATAAATTATTGTCATTAATTCATTTATTAAGAACTCAATTAGGAAAAATACCTGGAGGCCAACTCGGTTGATAACTTGAGTTCTTTGACCTCGAACAATCCTTGCTCCAAAGTTTTGTGTTTAAAAAACCAATGTCTTCCACGTCAATTCCTAGAATCCACGAAGACGTGTGTGTGGACACACATGAGACAAAACGGGTTACAATAAACACTCAAATTTCTACAAACACCAACGCATGCACGATGTGGAATTTTTGGAGAAAATTTTTTTCCTTCCCTTGCTCTAAGAGAATTTCGGCCATAATACTTTATTAGGTCAAAAATTGTTTCAAAAATTGTCTCACGTAATTTTCTATCATTATCTTATTTATAGAGTAGAAGTCAAACTTTTAGAAGGAATTCAATCTCTATCTCCAAGATAAAGCTTGTTAATTATCTCCTATTTGAATTTGAAATAAAATCTCACATTCCCTTATCCTTAGTGTGGCCGGCCACCTTAGGGAATTCTCATCCCTGTGTGGCGCCAATTTGCAGATAGGGAAGGAAGAGAAAATCATCCTTTATCCTGTAGTCCAATTTTGACTCAAATTCAAATTCCAGTTTAAGTCAAACTTAAATTAATTTGAATTCTAAATTGAACAACTTATCAAATAAGTTTAAATGGATAAATCTAGATGTGTTCAAATTTAAATTTAAATAATCACATTATTTAAATAATAATTAATTCTCAATTAATTATTTTTGAGTGTTTAATTTTAGAATTTCGTAAATTTAAAATTTCCATTTTGCCCTTTGTGTCTGGTAGAATTACTAGGATGACGCGAGGACTAATGAGCCTATAATCCCGAGCTCTAATAAAATTAATAATTAATTAAACACTTTAATTAATTAATTAATTCTAATAGTTGCTCCACTATAAACTTGGAATTGCACTCTCGAAATTATAGATATAAATTACTTTTAAACTGTGAAGTGTCTATTTGATATAGTCATTGCATATAGATCGATCATCAATAAATAATTCATAATTAGAGCTAGGTAAAATCCGTTAACCTCTCTAATTATATCTTTATCCTTGAGTACCATTGATTTTCTAATGGACAGTGATTCATAAAACACATTCATGAATCGGAGCTCCTACTAGTCCAAGTACCGAATCAATCCTCAAGAGAATTATTTATCTACTTCTTTCTTAAGAAGGAATGAATTCCATCTCGTGTAATAACATTACCGGCTACCTACTTCATCATGTCTCCAAAATACAAGGAATATGATATAGGATCTCAGAATTCGTACCGAGTAAATCAAAAGACACAAATCTATAAATAAGAGTCTGTTAAGAACTCAGGATTAAGATCATTCTATATATGACCATCGGTAGACTTAATTAGAATTTCTATACTTAACGGAAATTATTAGAAATTCATATGGTGTATGTGTCCTTGTTCCACATAATCTCATTATGCGAAATATACTCATTCAATATCTCATCATATTAACAGTGCGGATAACACCGTTCCATTCTAAATGAGAATGATATGTATTAATAATGTTTTAATTAAAGATTCTGAACTTTAATTAAACTCATTATGAACATTGCTTTTTGATTATTATCCTTAAATATTATCCTCTCGTATATAACACTTATATACAATGTTTAAAGTTACATAAATAATCACGAAATTTTCATTGATATTCATAAAATATTCACAAATATATACACATAAAATGATGAATAAACTCTTTTATTAAGTAAATAATAAATATCCTATTACATTTTATGCTTCTAGGATACTATTCCCAAAATAATAATATATCAAATACAGATAATATGAATTTTAAAATTTGTATTTAAACTATACTTGTTTTCCTTTAAAGAAAAACTAATAATTCAATAAACCATTTAAATGTGTTGTAATCTTGTTAAATGAGGCATATTTGTATTATTTAGGAAGAATTAAGTAAATGTGACACATGATATTTATTCCTCTTTAACTACATTAGATTTCTGACCCTCACTTCCCTTTTTATGTTTTCCTTATTAGGATGCCTAGCGCTATTCGTATTAGTTGTCGAAGTCATTCATTAAATGAGAACCTATTATTTACTATTGGAAAATACTTAGGCATAGTGGTGTTAAGCACCACAATCTAATAGAATGTGAGTTTTATTTATGGTCTCACAATGCGGGACCCATCTTCTATTAGATGATGGTACTTAGGACCGCTAATGTGCTATAATATTGCCCTTTATTAGTGTTATTATTGGATAAATAGCTTATTAGAATAGATGTAGATAACATCTCTCTCGAGGAGAAACGTACAAGAAGTTTCCTTCTTGTACGGTTCAAGAAAGTTGAAGTTCTTTTTATATATGGAATTATAGCTTCAAATAGATTCCTAAAAGAAAATTATGAAATTAATTAGATCAAGAAGTCTCTTATTATTATTATAATATGATTTAAATACTCGGTTACCTGTTGCTTATTCTTTTTCTCTCCTAGTGTCACTCACTGGATGACTTGTGGTAATCTTCCAGCATAGATCACCCAAATCCGGTCTACAGCTCCAGTCATCGGAGTCACTCACGATAACTCGAGTCTGTCATTGAAGCTAGAAAAGGTCAAATCTTTTGTTCACTAGATGAGGAACATCCATGGTTGTTACAATGATGTCGACGGATTGAACTTGATATCAAATGAGGTCGATTGCTTTTCGTTGGCGAAGAAATTTGACAAGAGGCTAGGTGAGTATGAACAATCTTTTGTTTCTCTTTTCTTCATGAATTTTATGCCGATTACTTTCTTTACTATGCTTTTTATTTGATTCCTTAATATGTATGGTGCTTTGAGATTGTTGAATTTTGAATATTCATATAATCTCCCTAATTTTCCAGATATCTCACAACGAAGAGCCAGAAGTACCACCAACGGCTTTGCTAAACCTTTACTCATTTTTACCCATTCACTTCGCTGATTCGAGTTTGTAATTCGAGTTGAGATTTGATTTTGTGTGAGAGGTTTTTACTGTAGCAAAAAAGTTAGATGTGACTGTTTCTGAGAACTTTTTACTGTAGCAAAACTCAAATTCTAAACTCAAAACGGCGAAATGAACGGGGCGTTTATGTTTTGAATGGGAATAATGAACCTTTGTAGTATCCAGCCAATTAACTTAATGGGAAGATTTTGATTAGGAAAAAAAAAAAAGAAAAAACTTAATGGGAAGATCTTAAAACCTTGAAAACAAAAAACAAGCGAGACCAGTTAATTAATAACTTCCAAGTCCTCCAAATATATATATATATATAAAGAAAATAAACCTTGTTAATTAGTTGTCTCCGCCAACGGCAACGCATACAAGGCAAAAAAGAGTGTTTTGACTTATTAGGCCTAACTATTACAACTTGATGCCAAATAAAGTTGGGGCAGACCGGAATCTTTCTACTGACAATGATTGTTAATAGCTTGTTT